GGGCCCCAAGGCACAGCATGGTCAGGGTCAAGAAGGGCCTCCAGGCGGGCCCGACGGACAACGCGATGGGAGACAAGGGGGACGACGACAGGCTCGGCCTCCAGGAGGGCCACTTAGATAAGGAGTTGTTGGGCCTCGCAGGCCTGACCGGGAAGATGCTCAAGGGGGTCTACCAGCCACAGGCTCAGCTAGCGCCCCACAGACTTGCCGAGGGCTTAGGATCAACCGGGAGCGCTAAGGACGTGCACGGGACCGTCAGCGACCACAACGGGACGGTCTCAGAGATTCAGAGCTGCATGCATGTATCTCGATACGTAGCGCTTTTCGGCTCGAGCTCAGAGATCAGCTTTCGAGATTTCCCGAGCAGCGGACGTCTTTCAGCAGTCGACCTCAGCGAGGCAGCCGATGGCGGTCCGTGCGCTGTTGCTCGCAACGATGACCAGCGCTGCGCTGGCGGGCAAGAAGGAACCCGGTGCGAAGGCGGCTACCGAGGAGTTCCTGGCGAGGCGCGAGGCGGCATTGGCCAGTGCAGAGGGCGAGACGAGCGACGACGTCAGCTCCATCGAGACGGTTCTGCCTGGACAGGGCAGCAGCCAGCCCGGGGCCTCGCCGTCGAACGACACGATGATTCTGGAACCAGGGCCGCCTCCACCTCCGGGGGTTCAGCCGATGCCGTGGGACGCAGCGGCGATTGCAGCACAGGTGCCCATAGCACCTCTCGGGCCTCCGCCTGCAGAACCGATCGGGGCACTCCGCCAGCATGCAGCTGCCCGGGGGACAGCGGGCCAGACGATGCAGCCTCCGCCACCAGCGGGGCCGCCTCCCAACTGGCAGGCCGCACTGAGTCAGCAGGCTGGGCTGCTGATGAGTCAGCAGGCAGTGCTCGCGGGCCCGGCAGCCACCAAGCCTTCGCCGGTTCAGGACGCGACACCACCGGGAGCAGCGGCATCGACAGCACATCCGACAGCAGGGGCGGCAGCGGTCGCACTTCCGCCCAAGTCTCCTCCCGCCTGTCGCCACCCTCGCTGTGCTATCCGTTACTTCGGAAACCAACATGGATCGGGATCACGATGCTCTCACTGCGGCGAGCGACGTGGATCCCTCGCGCGGCCGGCGCTGGAGGTGCCGGGCAAGGCGGAGGACAGCAAACGGCCGCGGAGGCCGCCCGCGCGGCAGCAGCGGCAGCACAGCAGGCAGTGGACCTGATGCAGGACAGTCCCCAGTTTCGGGCAGGCGGAGCAGCGTTGTCGACAGTGAACAGCTTGAGCGCCCTCCTCCAGGGCCTCCAGTGGCAGCTGGCGTCGGCCCCGGAGAGCGTGAGGGCGCTGGACCGCGTCCAGGAGGTCCTCGACAGGATGGCGCAGGTGGTGACCACCCAGCAGAATGCGCCGACGTCCCAGATCGAGGAGGGGCTCCAGCAGATCTACTTGAGCGTGGTGGAGATCCGCAGGCTTGTCGGGAGCTGCGAGGGCTTTGCCGAGACGCTGGACGGGATCCACAACACCGTGGGCAGCATGGCCAATTCCGTCACGCACGTGGAGGCTGCCGTCTCCCAGCTCGGACAGATGATGGTCCAGATAGGCACTGCGGTGACGGGACTGGTCCACATGGCCAATGCTCAGCTACCAGACCAGGACATCGAGGGCCAGTGGACGCCGGGGACGGCGTCGGGCTCAGGTGGCCAGGGCCCAGACGGAACGCAGGGCGGTCCCGACTCCACGATGACCACCACGACCACCGAGGAGCACACGACCACGACTCCAACGGTCATGAGGACGACGTGGTGGAGTCTGGGACCCATCCCGGAGGAGATGGTGCCGAACTCATCCGAGAGTTGGGAGGTTCTCCCGAACGAGGCCGAGATCGGCCAGTGAGTCCAGCGAGCCAGGACGGCAGCATGAGGTGCAGTCTAGACCCTGAGCGTGCTCCTCTCGGAGCGCACGGGCGCGGCGGTGCGAGGGTACCCGGCCTGAGCTTGGTCGCCAGCTTTCAGGCGTGCGAATGCGTTTCTTCTGTTTTGTACGAGCCGGCCACTGAGGCAGGCGAACAGAACGTGACCTATCCATCCTCCTCCCTTCCCGATCCTCCAAGGTTCCTCTTCCCCGTGAGCACCGGGCCCGGGAGCGGCACGAAGCGAAAGGGAAAACCGACCGGGGCACATCTCTGCCGGAAGAAGCACGAGCAACTGCGGGGGCTTGAGAGTGGCTCTGGGACCCTCGAGGGCCCAGGGTTTGAGGGGATCGAATGGCTCGACGGGGACGTCACGAATGACGATCGAGAGGCGTCGTGCCCAAGCAATGTCAGGGAAGCGTTGGAGGCCATGGCGACCTCCCGGAGCACGGGTCACGAGCAACCGAGTCGGAAGACCTCCAGGAAGGTCAAGCGGGGCACGAGCTTCCTCGAAGTCTTTTCCCCTCCTAGGATAGGTCCTAGGGTGCAGAAGCGAGGAGGGGCTGTCGGCAAGTTCGTTAGCTGGGACCTATCTACCGGCTGGAACTCCAGGAACGTTAAGGACCGCAGAAGGCTCTGGAAGAGCATACGCGAGGAGGAACCTCAGACCATCTGGCTCTGCCCTCCGTGTCGGGTCTTCTCAGCCATCAGTCGTTTGAGCGAGGCGGTCCGAGACCCCGTCGCGTGGTCCGAGGCTGTGCGCGAGGGGCTCGAGGATCTGATATTTTGCATGAAGATCGCTGATCATCAAATCAGGCACGGTCGATTCTTTGCATTCGAGCACCCTCTGTTCGCCACGTCCTGGGATACTCAGGTGGTTCGTGCGATCTCGGAGTTGCCTCAAGTGAGTCGCATCCGGGTGGACATGTGCACTTTCGGCCTCAACGTTACGGGGGACGGTCTCAACAAAAAGCCGACAGGGATTCTGACGAATCATCCGCGGCTCCAGGAAGTTCTGGGGGGTCGTTGGTGCGACGGCAGTCACAAGCACGTGCTGCTGGAGGGTAAGTCCAGGACCTCCCGGGCTCAGGTTTACCCCCCCCGTTTCGTCGAGGCTGCGGCGCGCGTGGTGACAGAACAATGGAGCGGAGCGAGTCAAGGTAGGAAGGTCGCTTGGTCAGAGCTCGACGAGAGTTCCTTCCCAGTCGGCAGTCTCGGCGAGGAAGATATCGACGATCAGGACGACAGCGGAGAAGACGAGCCCGAGACCAGGACCAATCCTCCCGACCAGGCCAGGGAACCCGAGCCAGAGCCCAGTGAACAGGAGAAGCGCCTCATCTTTCGCTTGCATCGCAACATGGGGCACCCAGACAACCGTAAGTTTATCAGGGTGATGCGTGCGGGAGGCGTGAAGATGCATCTGCTTCGTTGGATTCGAGATTCGTTCAAGTGCTCAGAGTGTTCGGAGCGTTCCAGGACCACGAGCCACAGACGTGTGGCTTTACCTCGGACTTTCAGGTTCAATCACATCGTCGGCGTCGATCTCTTCTTCCTCCCCTTCCAGGATCAGACGGTGCCGTTTCTTAACATTGTCGATCACGGGTCTAATCTGCAGATCGGTGTGAGGGTCGAAGAAGCTGAGGCGGCCTGTGTCTGGAGGGCTTTCGTGCAGGCCTGGGTTCGTCCCTTTGGGGCTCCACATTTTCTGTTGTCAGATGGCGGCTCAGAGTTTGAAGATCGCTTCGCCAGGGGACTCGAGCAGTGGGGAGTGTTGCATCACATCTGCGACGCCAACTCCCCTTGGCAAAATGGTCGAGTGGGGAGGCATGGAGGCTGGATTAAGGAGCGCATCAAGTCGGAGTTAGAAGCGGGTTCTTCGATACCGTCTGATCTTCCCGAGCTGGAGGAGTTAGTGTACGAGCTGTGTGCCCATAAGAATCGGTTTTGGCACAGAGGGGGTTTCACCCCACTCCAGCTGGTCCTGGGGGAAAATCCGCGACTGCCCCACGAAATCCCGTCGGGCGACCATCTGGGCTTGCCCGGGTGGCAGGATAGTTTAAGGCCTGCCGCCGAGCAAGACTCAGCTGGCGCGGAGTTTGCTCGTTCTCAGAAAGTTCGTGAGCTAGCTCGCAGGCTGGCTCTGGAGACGACCTCTCGAGAAAAGATCCAGAGAGCGAGTAAGGCAGGAGCCGGGCCGACGGTGACTTTCACGCCGGGTCAATGGGTTTTCGTTTGGCGTCGAATGACCAGGTCGGGACCAAGGGCTGACACGCTCGGCCGGAGACGAGACGCGTGGACCGGGCCAGGCATTGGTGCTCTCAGAGCGCGGTACGGTTTGGGTGGCCGTGAGATCTCGTTTGTGGAAGCGTTCCCCAGAGCAGGTGCGACTGGCCTCTTCCGAGGAAGAGTTTGGGATTCAGTTGGGTCAAGACCCACAGTGGCACGACTTGCTTGGTCAGGCCAGGACCAGGAGAGCTGCCGCCGTCGACGTGCAGCGGGAGGGCCCCCCTCCGGACGACGCCTGGGACCAGGCTTTGTCGCCCGGATCCGACGCGGCACCGAGCGTCCCAGCGGGCCCTCGAGCTCAGTTTGTCCCTGCCAGGGGTCCGGGGCCTGGGGCCGACCAGGGCCTCGAGCCCACGGGGCCCAGTTTGGGCCGGGGTGTCGTGGGTCACCCGGGGCCTCCCTCGTCGTCCGGGGGTTCGGTGATCGCCCGAGCCGGGTCCGAAAGAACCCGACTCCCCTCCATATCTGAGGAAGCGGAGGCTCCTTCGAGGCAGGTCACTTCGGACAGTAGTCGCGTCGCTCCGTCGCCTCCGGTCGCCCCCTCTCCTCCTCCCGAGAGAGCGGCCGAGGCTCCCGCGCGAGGGCCCGAGCCGACGGCGGCAGCGGCGAACGGCAACGGAGCGGTCGACGTCTCCGCGGCCCCTCCTACTCCCCCCTTCTCTCCCCCTTCTCTCTCCCCTGCTCCTTTGGTTCCTGGGGACTCTCTCTCTCCTCCTCCTCTCTCTTCCGCTGGGGGGCCAGAGCCAGGACCAGGCCGGGGCAGAGCGCGACTCACCCAGCCCTCGGACGTTCCGCCGTGTATACTGAGGCGCCGAGCCGAGGACATGCGTGCTCTCAGCTGCCCCCCCGGCACGGGCGAGGCAAAGCGGGCTCGAATCGAGCCTCCGCCCGGGCTCGCTCCTCCGAGTGAGGGAGCTGGCAGCGCAGGCAGCTCCGGACTCCCTCCGCTCCCAGAGGGCCCAGGACGTGTTTCGGAGGCTGGTCTCCCTCCTACCAGCGTTGCTGAGACGTCTCCCCCCTCGTCTCACGATTCCCACGGGCCGGGTCAGGGACCGGACCGAGAAGCTAGAGGCATTGTCGGTCGAAGGATCGAGGAGTTCGAGGATCGAGCTCGCAACCGTGACCGGCCCCCTCGGCGCGGGCATTTTGTGGTTGAAGCCGAGGACAACGGAGGCGCGTGTCTGACCGAGGTCCCGGGGACCGAGCCGGGGGCGGGGGTTTTCGCCGCCAGCCGTGGCGGCGAGGTCTCGCTCGGCAAGTTGACAGCGGCCGAGAGGGCCAAGTTTGAGGTGTCAGATGACACGGAGTGGGGAAATATGATGAAGTCAGGTGCTGTGGAGGTGATATCACCTGCTCGGGCGAAGGCGGTTCGGGAGGTCTGTCCCGAGCGGATCATCACCAGCCGCATGGTGAGACGGTGGATGCCGGTGGAGGGCACCTTCTCTGAGCCACAGGCTAAGTCCCGCTGGTGCGTGCACGGGCATAAAGACCCGGACACGGGGTCGCTGTTTGTCTATTCCCCCACTCCTCAGACCACGTCAATCCACATGTTTCTCCAGGTCATGATGAACCTGTCCCTCTTAGGAGATATTGCCGACGTCAAGAATGCGTTTTGCCAATCAGATCCGATGCGTCGTTCCCAAGGCGACATATATGTTGAACCATGCGAGGGGATCAAGATTGAACGCGGGTCGTTGATTCTTCTTAAGGTCAATGTATATGGCCTTGATGATGCGCCACTCGCGTGGCGCAAGACTGTCGTTGGTTTCCTAAAGGACAAGGGCTTCTGTAGGAGCCTGCTGGAGCCGTGCTGGTGGACCCGGCACGACTCGAGGGGCAGAATCATCAATATGATCCTTCTTGAAGTGGATGATTTTCTGATCGCCAGTGACTCACCAGAATCACGGAAGTGGCTGAGGGAGACTCTCGAGGGTCGATTCCGGTCCGGGAAATACCGCGACTGTCATGCAGGTCCCGTCGAATATGCAGGCAGGTCCGTTCGGGTGGGCCCCCAGCGCACTACTATTGACCAGGAAAAGTACATTCTCGAGGAGCTCCGCCCGATCGTGCTGGCCAGAGGAAGGCTGGGTCAAAGAAAAATGCCTCTCGACAGGGAGGAATTTAAGTCCCTACGGTCGCTCATATACAAGCTGAACTGGGTCGGACGGGAGTCACGACCCGAGGCCGCAGGTACGGCCAGCATTCTGGCCAGCAGGCTCAAGGAGCCTACCGTGGGGGACGTTGCGTGTGCCAACAAAATGGTGCGCCACCTTAGAGCCACGGCCTCTAGGGGCCTGAGCATCTGGCGACTCGACCCGGAACGCATGGCGTTTGTGTCGTTCTCCGATGCCGGAGGGGTCGGGGCCAGCGAGGGGCAGCTGGACGAGAGGGGCCTTCCCCAAGACCCCACCCAAGGAGCTTGGATGGTGCTTGCGACGGATAAGAGCGTGATAGATAATCGTGTCGTTCGAGCTTCGATCCTGGGGTGGAGGAGCTCGAAGCTCCGTCGGAAGGTGACTTCCACGCTGGCCGGCGAGACGCAAGCACTCTCCCAGGCCGTGGCCGAAGTTGAGTTTCTGCAAGTTTTATATAGGGACATCGTTTTTCGAGATGTCAACGTTTCAGACCTCTGCAGGGGCGCAGGACCTTTTACTACTGTGCTGAGAAGCAACTGCCGGCTCGGCAGTCGCGTGGAGCAGGTCCATGTTGTAGACGCTAAGAGTATCTACGACACTATGCTCAAGGACGGGCATGCGAGTGCGCGTGACCGGCGCACGGCGCTGGACCTGGCAGTGGTGTGCGAGACGTTAGAGAATGCCCGCGGACACATCCGTTGGATACCACACGGCGGAATGCCGGTAGACGCTATGACCAAGGATGATATCACGAAAGGGAATGCGGCATTGGCCAGTCTGCTTACCCATGGTAAGCTCGTTCTGGTCGACGAGTCCGCAGAGCTAGACCGTCGAAAGCAAGATCCTGGACACAAGGATAGGTCCCAGGCCGCCTCTCGGAGGACTCTTGCCCAGGACTCTGATCTGGTGTCATGGTCGGCTATTCGCGGTGTCGTCCCGGGTCCGGAGCTCGGCAACCTCTCTTCTCCTCTCTCTCCTGTCCTGAATCCTGTGTAGCAGGACGACTGACTTGTGTGTACAGTGCTGTTAGAGGCAGCTAAACCGACTAGAAAGTCTGACCCATGTGATGGAGTTCCACTTTTCAGGGGTTAGGTTTAGCATGTGTATCTTTCTCCAGAGAGCAAGAGACATAATGACTGACATTCATGATCTGTTGCCGGGTTTGGCTCAAGGCATTCGCTCATCCTGCTGCTGCCGCATATTGGTACCAGTTGCAGCCGACCTGGCTTCTTTTCAACCGGCCCAACAAACAGTAATTGTTCGTTTGGCCGGTTGAAAAAAAAAGGTTGGTTGTACTTGGTACCAATTGAACCAAGTACAACCAGCCTTTTTTGGCCGACAATCGGATCCGATGTGCACAGCATTTGAAGATGCTTCAGACAGTACACGAACGTCCTGACAGTGCGCATTCCTTCTGGGAGTCCACGTGGGTGCCCCGGCTGGAATTGACGCTGGTGTATGTTCTGGCATTTGAGCGCTGCGTTTTCCTCACACATCACATCAAGCCAAGAACCGATATCCAACACAACAACATCTATTCACAGCACACACCCTCGCATCTTTCACAGCAACACATCCACAGTCCAAACATTTCATCCTGCTTGTCATCATCCTTACATTGTCCAGCCCGTATTCTGCCATCGCAGGCGCTGATCAGCGCGTTCGTGGCCCATGCGGCGCTGCTTGGCGGTGTTTTTTGTCTGGTTTTCTGGAGGCGTGGCGACAGCAGGCATCGAGGTGAAGTAGTTGCTTTCGAGTTTGTCGTGGGTTTATGGCTTCTACTGCTCACCGACATGGCTAGGTTGTGGATCCGAGTCCTCAGAGATGCTTCTTGGGGTCTCTTCGGAGCGCTCTCGGGGAATTCTGAAGGACAAGAGACCTCTTTGGAAGGCTTATCTAATGGCCTTGGGTCCATTCCGCCACCGACCCGTGGCGGGGTCTGGTCTGCCAGAACAGAACAGCTCGTGGCCTTTGGGTTTTTGAATCTCTTCGGAGAGTTTTGGAGAGCTCCTGGGAAGCAGTCTTGAAGCCTCTTGGGAGGGTTCTTGAGGCCTCCTGGGGCTGTTGGGGGCTCCCTGGGAGCCTCTGAAGGCCGAGGGTTTGACATGTGGTTTCGCGTTCCCCCTCTAAAGCCTCTCTTGGGGCGTTCTTGGGGCCTTCGAAGGCTGTCTTGAAGCCGTCTTGGAGCCCACTTAGGAGCCTCTTGGGCCGTCTTGGGGCGATCTTGGAGGCTTCCGTCTTCTAGCGCCGGGAAGCCGCAAAGGCGAGAATGCCAGAATCCTTCAAAACCCGATGGTAAATCGATGAATTGTGCAGTGTGGGCCCTGTAGGGAGTGAGTGTTCTTGGAAGGCTCTTGGGCCGTCTGGGGGAGCGATCTTGTGGTATAGCCCCGGACAGACCTCTAAGAGGCTTCAAGACAGCCTCAAAATGGCCCAAGATAGTTGAGCATGGCTCAGGATAGCCTCAGACAGCCTCTAGCAGGACAGGGCTAAAAATAGCCTCCAAGAGGCCTCAAGAAAGCTTCCGATCGTGTATGGATGGGCTGGTGGGGATACGCGAAACGTTCAAGCGCTTATGTGTTTGTTCCAACATGCATTCGGTACGAAAGTAGGGAAGGTGGCGGCGGCGGCGGCGGCAAGGCGACTCGTTCGGCCACGCTCTCCCATGGCTCGGAGGCCCCCCGAACCCCCGAGGGCACGGAAAGGAGGCGGGGGCCGAACGACTCGGCGGCGGAGGGCAAGGTGACTCGTTCGGCCACGCTCTCTTTCCCCATGGGTTAGGTAGCTCCCCGAACCCCAGAGGGCATGAAACGCTTCCATTTGGAGCGTAGCCCTCGGAAGTTTGGAGAATCCCGCGCGCGCATGAGGGGAAGCAGGGGCCGAACGACCCGGCGGCGGCGGCGGCGGAGGGCAAGGTAACTCGTTCGGCCACGCTTTCCCTGTCCATGGGTCCAGGGGAATCCTCAGGAATCCTTCACAAATCTTTCAGGGAACAATAGAGGAACTTTCGGGAATCTGGAGAAATATTCCAGGAACCCTCAGGATTCTTCAGGAATCTCATAGGAATTCTGAGGGACCCGCAGGAATCAGTCAGGAACCTGTCAGGAAACCACGGGAATCCTGTGAGGAATCCCTAGAAGTCCGGAGAAATCCTTCGCAGAGAACTTCTTCAGGAATCCTCAGGACTACTCGGGGATCCTCAGGAATGAGAGACAGAGCGCGCCCGTGGCGAACACCCCCAAGGGGGGCGAACACCCCCAAGGGGGAAGGGGTACCCCTTCACCTACCCCCCCCCACACGCCCGCCCATTGGACCTGCACTGCCCTGCCCTGCCTTTTTTTCTCGCCCTTCGGAAGCTAAGGTGCCCCTCTCCCTTTTCGCGCTCCGGAAGCTACCCCCCGCTCCTTCCCTTTCCAAAGGAGGGAGGGCCTCGAACCTCTTCCGCCGGATGCTCTTCCCATCCGTTAATATACATATATATATATATATATATATACATTGTGGTGGGAAACAGGGGTCGTTATTTCAAAGCCAGACGATAAGACGATAAGACTATAAGACGATATAAGACAATAGGACGATAAGACGATAAAGCGATATAAGGCATCGCCAGACGATAAGACGATATGACGATATAGGGGCATGCATATAGCGTCTTACCGTCTTATCGTCTTATCGTCTTATCGCCGTATCGTCGGGAGCTGATCTGCAGTTGGCGCTGGGGCAGTTGGCAGCATTGGAGAAATGCCTGTTGAAACCTCGCAGGGCTGAGCAGTGGAGGACGTATTGTGGTGGAAACCTCAGAGCGCTCAACATTGGGGGATGCCTCGGGGGGCAGAGCATTGTACATGTACATGCAAGTATCTCCAAGAGTCCAAGAGATTGCACCACTTAGCTTGCACCACATAGGTTACAACACATCGACGGCCCCACATATATTGAACCACATAGATTGCACCACATGGACTGCACCACGCAGAATGCACCACATAGATGGCACCACGTGCACTGGCCCACGTAGATTGTTTGCACCACGCTGGCTAACTTTTTCTGGCTGTCCTGGCACTCAGGGCAGCGCCAGAAAATGCCCCTGGTTGAAACCTCGCAGGGTTCCTTGTTGAAATCTGTTGGCTCATGGGGTCAGCATTGGAGGACGCCCCGTTGAAACCTCGCAGGGTTCTTGTCGAAGCATGGGGGGCTCCCTGTTGAAACTTCGCAGGGCTCAGCATTGGAGGGCTCAGCATTGGAGGAGGAATAGGAGGAAGAGGAGGAGGAGGAGGAGGGCGCCCGTTTCGCGTAAGACATCCTCGATAGTGTGGGCTCACATGTGCCCCGACCTGTGATGATCTGGGCAGTCTCGCCTTGGATATCCTCACCACTCCGGGTTCCAAGATGCAGTTCTCGAAGGGTTCTCGCCCGTTTCGCGTGAGACATCCTCGGCACTCTGGGATCCGAAGTGCTTTGACTGGAGGTGATTTGGCCACCTTCGCCTGGAACATCCTCGCAACTCTGGATTCCGAGATGTCCTTCCCCCTGGCGGTCCGGCCACTTTCGGTTTTGACATCCTCGCGACTCTGGGTCCCGACACGCCTTGAGCTGAGATGGTCAGGCCACTCTCGCCTGAGACATCCTCGCAACGCTGACTTCGGAGGTGCCCTGCCCTATGGTAGTCCGGCCACTTTCGCTTGCGACATACTCGCAACTCTAAATTCCGAGACGCGTTGAGCTGAGGTGCTCAGGCCACTTTCGCCCGAGACATCCTCGCAAGTCTGACCTCGCAGGTTGCCTGCCCCATGGTGTTCAGGCCACTTTCGCCCGAGACGTCCTCGCAATCTTGGTTTCCAAGATGCCCTGAGCTAAGGTGGTCAGGCCACTTCCGCTTGAGACCCGCGCGCCATGTATATACACAGGCGTACCATCAACGATGTACGGCATATGTTTCAATGCTTCCAAAATCATTGAAACGCAGGTCCAAATCGCAATTTCCATCATCAAGTTTTTTCACCAGCACCCTCACCATCACCACTGTCATAACACCCATGTGCACCATGATCTTCGTCCATCACCATCCTCGCCATCATCACAAGCATCACCATCAATAATCGCCGCCATCACCATCATCACAACCATCACCATTTATGATTTTCATCGCCATGAGCGTCACTATCACCATCAGCGGTACCATCACCATCATCAGCGTCCTCGTGGTCGTCGTTGTCACCATCATCAGACGATGAGACGATAAGACAATAAGCTGGTTTTATCGTCTTATCGTCTTATCGTCTGGTGTGGCCCTATATCGTCTTATCGTATTATCGTATGTTGCCCCTTTATCATCTTATCGTCTTATCGGCATATCGTCTTATGTCGTCTTATCGTCTTATCGTCTGCGTGAGATTTAGACCGCTGATCCCCACCACACTGTATATATGTGTATGTTTGTATGTATCGATGTATGTATGTATGCATGCACGTATAGTTAGTTTATTATATACACATATGGGCTTATAGACATATAGACATGCAAACATATACACATATACACATGCATACATACAGACAAACAGACATACATACATACAAACATACACACACACACATACGTACGGACGCACGCACGTACGTACGTACGTACAAACATACACACATGCATGTATAAAAACACAAATGCCTTCGGAAGCTACCCCACCCTGTTTTCGCGCACCAGAAGCTACCCCCTCGCTCCCAGTCCCCGGAAATCCCCCGTGCCAGGCACCCCCCCCCTTTTTTCCCGCCACTCGGACGCTACCGCCCCCCCCCCTGCATGTTCGCGCTCTCGGACCTACCCCCCCTTGGGCTTCCCATGCCGGAAGCCCCCCCCCTCATTTTTCATTGCTCCTCGGAAGCGACGTCCCCCCCCCCTCCCCCCACCCCCCAACAGGCGCCACTTGCTTTTACAAAAACTGCAAAACCACAAAAGCCCGAATAATCGAAAAGCGCAGAGGGACGAAGACCGCGGAAACCCAAAAGAGCACGAAGAACAAAGAAACGCCACCAACAAATACATCAAAGACGAAACGGGCGCCAGAAACCAGAAGGGGGCCGAGAACCAAGAAAGCGCCTATGACCGAAGGCGCGCCAGGAAACAAAATGGCGCCGCCAACCAACAGGTCGCCTCATTCAAAGGATGCGCAAAAGACCAATGGCGCGCCGAAAAACAATCGAAAGCAGACAACCAAAGGAGCGCAGAAAATCAAAAGTGCTCCGATAACCCACTAATGGCGTTGAAGACCCAAAAACACCAAAAGCCAAAGGAGCGCCGTCAACCAAAAAGAGCCGACAACCAAAAGGCCGCCGAAAACCAAAAGAACGACGACAACCACAGCAGTGCCGCAAACCAAATGGACACCGAAAACAACCTATTCCCCGACAGCACAGGGCGTCGAAAACCAAATGAGCGCCGCAAACAAGAAGGGCTCCGAAAACAACCCGGGTCGCCGAAATTCAAAGAAACCCAACCAAATCAAAACGGCGCGGAAAACAACAAATGCGCCGAACACCAAGTGAGCGCCGAAAACCAATAGAGCGCCGAAAACCTATCAGACGCCGAAAGTTCTCGATTCGCCCAACACCGACTGAGCACCAACAAAACCTTATGACGCCGAGAACCAAAGAGGCGTCCTAAAGGACCACCGAAAACAATGTAAGCGCAACAAAAAACCACAAGAACACCGAACAGACAAAAGTACACCGAGAACCAACGATGCCCCAAGAACCCGCGGATTGCCGAAAACCAAATCGACGCCGAAAACCAAATTTGCGCCGAATGCTGGAGCGGCCCCGAAGAGCACATGGACGCCCTTTTTCCTTAGACAATCCATGCCGAAAGCCCACCCCCGCCTCCCTCCCTGTTCGGATAAAGGAGGAGCGTGGCTTGGAAAGCCCTCCCCAACCAACCCCCCCTGTGGCTAAAGGAAGGCTCCGAAAAGCAAAAGGTCGCCGACAACCAAAGGGCGACGAAAACCAAAGACACGCCAAAACCCAGAAGAGAGCACAGCAGCAAACAACAACCAACACCAAGCAGGCGCCAAAATTCCAGAAGGTGCCGACTACGAACAGGGCGCCGAAAACCGAAAGGGTTCCGAACATCACAGGGAACCGAAAACCAAAGGGACACCGAAACCCAAAGAATCGCCAACATCCTAAAGGGCGACGACGAACATCAAAACAGCGCCGAGAGCAAAAGAGCAACAAAACCCAACCGGCGCAGAATACCATCGGATCGTCGAAACCCAAACAGCCGACGAACACCAAAACAGCGCCGAATACCAACGGATCGTCGAAATCTAAACAGCCGACGAACACAAGAAAGGGCGCCAGAAACCGACGAGGGAGCGCAGAAGGTCCCCAGATAGGCCGAATACCAACGGATCGTCGAAACCATGGCGGCACCGAAAACCAAAGCAGCGTCCAAAAAGTAGTCACTGCGTGGAGCTCCCCATGTGCGCATCTATTCGCATGGACCTGTCCGCCGTGAATGTCTAGGCGCAAGAGCTTTCGAATATAAGCGGGCTTCAGTTGTGACGCTCTGGTCATGAATCTAGCTGAGAATGAATTGGAGTGTGAATGAGCCTCAGTAGTACGAGCGCGTCTCTGCGCACGAGCCTGGGTCCTCCTGGGGCCTCATGGGGCCTCCTGAAACCTACTGGGGCTTCCTGGGGCCTCCAGGAGCCTCTTGGGGCCTCCTGGGGCCTCCCGGGACCTCCTAGGGAGGATTCGTGCCCCAGGAGTGGCCCAATCTATAGTAACAGATGTACATAAAACATTGCGGATTGGAGCCGCAGGAAAAGGGGGCAATCTATAGGAGCACACGTAAAACACCAAGGACTCGTGTCCCAGGAGAGGCCTTATAGGAACATAAGTACACAGGAGAAGGACAATCTATGGAAACGTGCGTATCACATCAAGGATTCGTGCTCCAGGTGAGGCCCAATCTATAGGAGCATACGTAAAACACATGGGATTGGAGCCACTCCTGTTGCCTTCAGAGGCCTCCTGCTCCTGGGGCCTCTCGGGGCCTCCTGTTGCCTTCCGAGACCTCCTGGCGTTTCCTCTGGCCTCTTGGGGCCTCCTGTAGCTTCCTGAGGCCTCCCGGAGCTTCCTGGGGCTCCCGTTCGCGGCCGTTTTGTGGGGATGTCTCAAGCGGTTTGCCTGTCTTCTGTCCCAACATCCTTCGCTTTCGGAGCAGATTTGGAGGATGTCTCGAGCGAGGCGCTCATTTTCACCCCCCAGGTGGGCCAGATTTTGAGGATGTCTCGATCGGTGGCCAGACTCGTGGGCACAGATTCTCTTCAGGATGCCACAGGAGGCGCCAACAGGCCCCCCGTCTCGGCCCTGGAGCCGGTCGCCTTCGCCGCGCGGGCGGGCGGGGCGGCCCGGGGCCGCGGAGGCCCGGGGGCGCCCGGAGAAGGGCCGGGGCGTCGTGAGACAGCCAGGCACCGGGCGCCGACACGCTGTAAGCTGGGACCCCGCGCGGGCAAGACGCCCGGCGACCGCGGCAAGCGACGGCTCCAGCGCGAGGCTGGGCCCGCGCTCGTCGGTCGTTGGCGCGAGGTCTGCACGGCGCAGGGCGAGGGCGGGCGGCGCGCCACTTTCGACCGCGGAAGGCGGTCAGCTGTCCAGTGTTCGTTCTTCCCCCGAGGGCCCGCGGCCGCCGGGCGCGACCTTGCGGGGCGGGCTGGGCGCGAGGGCGCGGGGCCGCCGCGGCTTCGGCACAGGGGGCGGTCCGCGGGCCCAGCCGGTGGCCTCTTAACCTTGGGCGCGGCCGCTGCGCACCCGGCCCCTGCACCTGGTTCGCTTTTTGGTTGCGTGACCTTGGTTACTCCTCCTCCTCCTCCTCCTCCTCCTCCTCCTCCTCCTCCTCCTCCTCCTCCTCCTCCTCCTCCCCCTCCACCTGTCGCTTTTTTTGGTTCTCCCGTGTCGTCGGGGCTTTTTGCCCCCTGCGGTTACTTGGCCCCCCCGCGCCGGGCCCCTGCCGCCGGTGGGGTTTCCGCCCTCCCAGGCCCCATCCGTGCCCGCTGCCCTGGGTCGCCAGCCCTGGCCGCTGCCCCCGGGCTGCCCCCGCAGGGTCGGCGTTTGCAAGGAAATCGGGCCTTGATTATTCATGTCGTTCTGCTTCGCGCCCAGACTTGCGCCTCCCCGACCATCGCCATCCGGCCTTTCACCCGGCGCGCCTGTCTGGACCGTATTGGTTTAGTTTTGCTCGCAGCCCTTGGATCCTCAGCCCCCTTTTCGGATCTATCGTTTGCACCCGGTCAAGCGCGGCCGCTTCATCACGCTCATCAGTTCATGTCCTTCTACATGGTCTCCAGCTCTGGTTCGCTGAGTCGCGGTTGTGACGCGCTGCATTATTGTGTTTTCCCCCGCGCGATCCCAGCGCTCTGGCCCCGCCCTTGGCCCCTCTCGTCCCGACGTTGTACCCCATCAAAGCCTTCCATTTCAGGCCAGCCCGGCCTTCCGCTGTTCGGACGGAGCTGCAAGATCGACCACGACATCCCCGAGCCCGTTTCCATGGTCTGAGCGGTCTCCTCCTTTTTCCTTTCAAGATCTGTTCTATCTCGCCCTCGTGCCTCAGTTCGCCCCCGGTGCTTGACACGCGTCCGACTGTCTTGCGCACTTTGGCCCCCGCCGACCAAGGTGCGCGCTCGCGGGCGGATCCGCGCGATGAGTCTGCACCGCGCAGCTTGCACCGCATAGTTTCCACGAGGCGGCCGACACCACGCAGCCTCCACCCCGCAGTTTACACATGCATCATTCCGAAGAGTAGCAGGCTCCACCCTCCCAGGCCCAGAAGCAAGCGTCCGCTTGGGGCATTTCAATGTACACACGATCTTGCCTTATCGTTCATGTGCCAGACGAGTTCCCACCCCCGTTTTTTATCTGTCGAATGACACACTGCGCGCCGATGCGCGCACATTCGTCTACCTGAAACATGAAGCACGCATGGTTTTTTTCAATCAGAGGTTGCGCGGGTAATCTGCCCGCGCGCACTTGTTGAGTTCATGGGAAGAGCAGCACATAAGTTTGGCAACCCCGACCAGGACCAACAGTCCCATCGCACCAGTCGGTGCACACGCATTGATGCACCATGCGCTCAAAAATGCCACGCGGGGCACACGCACGCGCCGCCCTGTGCGCGTGGAAAATCCGTCAAGACCCACGGGTTTCCGACGCATGTCAAGACACAGTTCTTCAGCGACAATTGGAAACCATGGGTGTCAAACAAACTAAATGTCTTGAACTTCTGCGCGCGCTTCATGATCACCTTCGTCAGAGCCATCGCATCACCGCCGCCGTCATCATCGCGAATCGCCACCAGTGCCGCCATCGTCATTACATTCATTTTCATCACCGACGACGTCATCACCGGCATCGTCGTCACCAGTATCCACGCCGTGTTCGGCCTTGGCGTCTTCATTGTCACCATCGTCTCCACCATCCCTATCATCATCATCGATACCGTTGGTTGCCGACGTCGTCATGCTATCCCGCCCGCCCGGGCCACTGGCCCGCACTAAAATGTTTGCGTGCCAGCGCGGCCTTTTGAGACGCGGTGGGAAGTTCCCATTTGCGTCATCGCATCCGCATCAGATGCGCCGAACCAGCTGGTCGCGTTGCGCGCGCCAGCGCGGCCGTTGAGACGCGCAAGCAGGCTCAACCAGGAGCCGCAATCGTTGCTGAATGGATGTTGTCAAACCAGTTGCGGGCGCCCCGTCATCCACCTGGTATGACGTTGTTCAAGTTGCGGTCCCAGGGTTCCCGACCACCTCCCTGGAGGTTGTTTTGCGTCGCAGCTCCTTTTCTGATGGCCCCGGGGCCCGAGTACGGCCCCAGATCCTTGGTTATAATTCTTGGGAGGTTGTTCGGTATCGGCGCTGGTATATCCGTTGTCGAAAAATCGCATGAAAACGGATCAATTCGGCTTAAACCCAAGCGCATTTTGGTTTGATGGCCCGTTGGATCAGGCGTAACAGTTTATTCAACATCGGCGCTGGCATATCCGTTGCCGAAAACCGTTTGAACACGCCTGGACCAGATCAGTTTGGCTGAATCCCTGGCGCACTCTGGTTTGATGGCCCGTTGGATCAGCCTTCATAGCTTTCAATCGTTCTGGAGAAGACCTGCCAGAAGTTGCCCCTCTGGATGGTTTTTGTTACAACCCCGGGGCTTTGTGAGGATACCCACAGGCTGACAATTGCCAAACAAATCCCGCCGTCCTTTTCACACGACGCGAAGGGGTTAGGATCTCGTCGGGCCCCCTTCCGGCCCCTCGCGGGGCACGCCCCGGCCGCGGCGCCCTCCCCGCCGCGGCTGGCTTCGTCGTTGTCGGCGGCGGCGGCGTCGTCGACGTCGAGGTGGTCGCCGTCGTCGGCGTCGTCGTGGTCTGCGTCGGCGCCGGCCCCCCGCGAAGGACGCCCCCGCTGCGGCGGCGGCCGCCGCCGCGGCGCCCCCGCCGCCGCCGGCCGACGTGGCGCGGGCCCTCCTGGAGGCCGGGTGGCCCAGCGGGGGCGGCCCTCGGGGCGGCGCGGGTCTCGGGTGAAGTCGGGCGTGTCCCTCTGCAGGAGGACAGCTAGAAAGTTGTCCAAATTCACAGCCCACCAAACCACCCCAACCCAACCCGAAGGCCCCGATCTGCCCTCCATTTCCAGCTGGGGGGGGGTCGGGTGGCATTGAAAAAACACATATGAAGCCCGTACCCCCCCAACCCGAAATTCGGGTCTCCGGGTTGGGTTGGGGTGGTTTGGTAGGCAGTCGCAAAGATAGTCTGGGGGCGTTTGTTATTGTGACTATTTTTGAGGATTGCGTTCTACTGGTGGTTTCCACAAGGTTTCATCTGTCGTCCAACACTCGGGAAGGGAAGAAACACACAGACACAATTATTCGTCGATTCCCAGAAAATATGCGAAAATGTAGGAAGTGGGGGGGAAGACAGAAACCCAGAAACTATAGGAAAATATTGGGAATCTTTTTATTGGTGTGTATTTATTTGTGTGTCTGCGGGCCCCTTCAAACACCCGCCCGCAGGAGGACACGCCCGACCGGAGACTCGGGCGGCCCTCTGGCGGCCCTCGGGCGGGGAGGCGTCTGGCCGACGGGAGGTCGCGGAGGTGCGCTTCCGCGTCGAGGCACGAACGTCGAGGGTCGAGCCGCCTCGGGCGTCTGGCCCCGGGCGCACCCCGCGAGGGGCCTGGGGCCCGGCGCGCTGGAGGTTCCCAGAGCAAGGGCAAGTTGTTCGCGCCTCGCGGTTCGGCTTCGATTCCTCCTCATCCTCCTTTTTCTCCCCTGGGACGCGGCGCGAGAGCGCGAAGTTATTCGCGCTTCGCGCAGCGCGAAGCGCGAAGTTGGGAGCCCTTGCAGAGAGGTCCGAGGGTATGAGTTGAGCAGCCCTGGCGATGCTCTTGTTGCGCGTCGCGCCTCCTCTCCTCCTCCTGCTCCCCCCCTTTCTCTCGGGGGTGGACAGGCCTCCTGCCCCGGCACGTCGATTCGCGAATTGGCCGTTTCCGGTTCGCGAGAGGGCGTCGCGGCCGTCATTTTTGCGGGTCCAGGTCCGTCGGTTTCGGTGCCAGGCCGCTCTCACTAAAGGGAGGTTTGCTAAAGGGAAGTTTGTCCACCGCCGATTTTCTCAATCCCTCCAGACGTGTCGGTAGGGCGGGCTGCGCGTTTCGCTTGAGAACTTCTCACCGCTCAGGACCCTGCAGCGTTCGCAACCATTTCACAAGTAAAAGGCGACCCGTTTTCAAAGTGTGGATCTTGCCTTTATGCCGCGCACACCCGTCTCGAAAATGTGCAGCAGGTTCAAGGATAGAGGGCGGTTCCTTGTCAAGTTGTGGCTCTCACCTTAGCACTGCGCGCGCTCGCTTTTTCGTAAAATAATCGGTTCCGTGGGTTCTTATGGCTGAATGGTTGAAGTACCAAGACTGTGCTTTGAAAATGTTTGGGCTTGTCGGGGCGCAACAGTAACGTTGATTCGCGGTGATGAAGGCCCAGGAACGGTGTTCTGGCAATAATCAGGACTGTCAGGACGAGGCAGTAATGTTGGTGCGCGGCGTCGAAGTCGTAGAAATGGTGTGTGAGCACGATGTGGGATTCTCAGATGGCTGTTTTCGTATAGGGTATTTCCAGCATGAAAATAATTGATTGTAGGGACTTCTGAAGAGGGAATGTGGAGGAAGAGTCTACAGCAACACTGTTGCTACATCTTGAGTGTTTGCACCCTACATCTTGAGTGTTTGCACCGGTCCTCGTCCTTCTCCTACGCTGTACATCCTCCTACTCCTTCCCATTCCTCCCCATTCCCATCGTGCTGAAAACTCCGGACGGGTGTTTTCTGCCGATTTCGCCCTCTCGGGTCCGTATGGGCCGGGGGGGCGCATGCGAACACCGCCACTGGAGCCTTCGGTGGAGCTCCTTGTGAGACCACGAAACTTGTAAGTGATAAGCCGAAATGCCAAAATGAGGGGGGGGGGCGGGCGCATGCGAACACAGCCACTGGGGCCTTCGGTGGAGCTGGTGTGCTGACATGGGTGGTGCGGGCGCATGCGAACGCAGAAGTTGGGGTCTCCGGTGCAGCTCCCTATGGGGTCACGAAACGTGTGAGGGGTGCCGAAATGAGTGCGGCGAGCGCATGCGAACGCAGCCATTGGGGCATTCGGAGGAGCTCCCTGTGATGCCACGAAACGTGTGAGGGGTGTGCCCAAATCGTTGACTGCCGCGGAGGGCAGAGGCAAGGAGTGGGAGGAGGGAGGAGGGGAAGGAGGAGGAGGAGGAGGAGGAGGAGAGTAGAGGAGAGGAGAGGGACGCAGGGCGCTGTCTCTTCAAACTCCCGTTCCTCGTCCACCCTCGTCTTCCCATCCTCTTTCCTGGGAGAGGGAAAGGACGACGGAGGTAGTGGTGGTATACACTTCTGGGCCCCGTACGATTGAGAAGAAGTGTTAGCGGGGGGGCGGGGCGTCACGCAGCAGCGGCTTGGGCGATGATAGACAGCTTTGGTTCCCAGCTTGCTCGTGGCTCGTCGGCGTCGTCGTCATCGAGGTTCTTCGATGGTCCTTGCCAGTGTCTGCCCCATCGGCCAGAAAGTAGTTGTTGTCGTAGTGCCCCTCCTCCCGCTGTCTCGACTGTTGATCGCTTGGAGTGGGGCTCCGAGAGCATGGCCGGATTTTCGATATGTCTCAGTTTTGGTGTGGGTGTTTCCTGAGGTTGCCCTGGCACCAGTTTTGACGGCTCGCATGGTCATCCGTCCTGTCCGCTTCGTCCCCGCAGTTGTCTTGTTTCTCACCCCAAAAACTTGCGCGCAAAATGTATTACAGCAGAGAAAACCCCAATCAATGGATGGTTTGGAATGGGATCGATAAAGAGATCGATAAGGAGATCGACCAGGAGCTCAGGAACCCGGGAACCAGGAACCCACCGAAATCCGCCTGGAACCAATAACCATGAACCCGGGAACCCGGAACCGGGAACCCGGGAACCCAGCGGGCCACCGACATCGGCGGGGAGTCTTCGCCAAAGTTTTCAGTTGCCGCCAGGACCCCTGCAGTGCAAGCACTGCTTGGGGAATGCTGCAGCAGTTCCCACTGTGCTGCTGTTCCTCGATCGCCACCCCACACCAGTGCCCGGGGCGGGAGCGCGCAGCCGGAGGCAGGACGCACACATTTTGATGGGCCTGTTTTTCACCATCACCATGAGTGTGAGGGGGGAAGGAGGTGGAGGACGAGGAGGAGGACGTAGATGAGGAGGAGGTGGAGGACGAGGAGGAGGACGTAGAGGAGGAGGAGGAGGAGGAGGACGCAGAGGAGGAGGAGGAGGAGGAGGAGGAGGAGGAGGAGGATTGGAGGCGGAGTGGAGGCTTTCTCCGAAGGGCTTAGGCGACCCCTCCTCCTCCTCCTCCTCCTCCTCATCCTCCTCATCCTCCTCCTCCTCCTCCTCCTCCTCCTCCTCCTCCTCCTCCTCCTCCTCCTCCTCCCCCATCTCCTCCCCTCCTCCCTCCTCCCTCCTCCTCCTCCTCCTCCTCTTCCTCCACCTCCTCCTTTTCCTCTTGCTTCCCTCTTTCTCTCATCCTTCTCCTCATCCTCCTCCATCTCCTCCTTCTCCTCCTCCTCCTCCTCCTAAATCATCATCATCCTCCTCCTCTTCCTCCTCCTACTCATTTTTCTCTTTCTTCTCCTCCTCCTCCTGCTCTTCCTCCTCCTTCTTCTCCTTCTCCTTCTCATCCTCCTCCTCTTCCTCCATCTCCTCCTCCTCTTCCTCCTTCTCCTGCATCTCCTCCTCCTCCTCTTCCTCCTCCTTCTCCATCTCCTCCTCCTCCTCCTCCTCCTCCTCCTTCTCGTCCTCCATCTCCTCCTCCCCCTCCCCCGAAGCGGCTCGACGTGGATAGGGGGCCACATGCGAACCCTACCCTCACCCCCCTCAGTAATCGTGGGAGGTAGGGGTAGGGTTCGCATGTGGCCCTCTTGTGGAGCCCGATTGCTCAACGCTGGCAGCGCCGATGCACTGCCGACGCGTCGCCGCTGCGTCGCCCATGCGTCGCCCGTGCATCGGCGAGGCATCGGCCCACGGGTGCAGTCCTCCGAGCCCACTTGCCCGGACCTTAGTGGGCCCTGGAAACGACAAGGCCGTTTGTTTACCGGCTCCGTTTTGCCGTTGTTTTGCCGGTTCCGACGCCGTTCTTTTACTGGTTCCGTCGCTGTTTTTTGACCGGTTCCGGCTCCGGTTCCAATCCTGGAGCCGTTTTTTTACCGTTTCCGGTCGCCGTTTTTTGCCGTTTCCGTTTTCAAGGGACATTTTTGGGGAAACGGTGAAAAAACGGCTCTGCCGTTTCCGGGGCCCACATACGGCCCGGACCCCATTTAGAAGGCCAGGGTTCGGCCCAAACGGTGTTTTGATGATTTCGTGGACCCTTTGTTTCCTTTGGATGTCGTGTTGCAGCACAGAGGCGGATGGAAGACGAAACGAGGGCACGCGAAGACAAAATGAAAACGAAAAACGAGGGAAAGAAGGCGAAACGAGGGAAACAAGAGAAAACAAACAAAACAAAACAGGAGAAACGAGGGAACGCGAAAACAAAACGAAAACGACAAACGTTGCTCAGGGCGATCCCTGTAGGAGGCCCCTCGCGAACTAGGAGAGAGGGCGACGCTGGCCGCGCCGACACTCGCGCGCAGGCCACCCGCGCAGTGCCGCTCGCACGCCCGGGGGCCCCCAGACGGTCCGGGGGCCACGCCGCGTGGTGCGTCCGTGGGGATTCGGGGAGGCCGCACGGCTTTGGGGCTCGGGTCGCTTCCCGAGGATTCCTCGTGCGACCGAGTCCTCCTCCTCCTGCTCCTTCTCCTTCTCAACCTCTTTCTCCTACTCCTTCTCCTCCTGCTCCTTCTCCTCCTCCTTCCTCCTCCTCCTCCTCCTCCTCGGCCTCCTCCTCCTCCGCGGATGTCAGGGGCCCCCAGACGGTGCGACCGGAGCCTCGTCCCAAAATCCGTGCGGTGACGGGCCGTGCGGTGAGATCTCCAGCGCGGTCCGAGGCACGTCACCGCACCGCGTTGGGACCCCAAGGTGAGCCACCTCGCGCAGTGCCCCCTCGCGGCCTTCGTCGCTCACGCGCGGGATCGCGCGCCTCCCGCGCCGCGCGTGCTCCCAGGCTTCCTGGGGCAGAGGGCCGCAGCACCGGGCCTTGCTGCCCCTTGTTGGCGCCCCGCCGGGTCGATCGACCCTCGGTCAGCGAGTGGTGCCCGTCTTTGTCTGTCTGTTCTTTCTCCTTCTCCTCCTTCCCCTCCTTCTCCTCCTCTCTCTCCCTCCTCTCTCCTCCTCTTTCTCTTCCTCTTTCTTCTCCTCCTCCTCCTCCTCCTCCTCCTCCTCCTCCTCCTCCTCTCCTCCTGCTCCTCCTCTCCTCCTCCTCCTCCTCCTCCTCCTCCTCCTCCTCCTCCTCCTCCTCCTCCTCCTCTCTCTCCTCCTCCTCCTCCTCCTTCCCCTCCTTCTCCTCCTCCTCCTCCCTCCTCATCATCATCATCATCATCATCATCATCAGCATCATCATCATCATCATCATCCGCATCCAAATCATCCTCCTCCTCTTCTCCTTCTCTCCTCCTCCTCCCCCTCCTCCTCCTCCTCTTTCTCCTCCTCCTTCCCCTCCTACTCCTCCTTCTCTCCTCCTCCTCCCCTTCCTCCCTCCTCCTCCTCCTCCCCTCCTCCTCCTCCTCCTCCTCTCCTCCTCCTCCTCCTCCTCCTCCTCCTCCTCCTCCTCCTCCTCCTCCTCCTCCTCCTCCTCCTCCTTCTCCTCCTCCTCCTCCTCCTCCTCCTCCTCCTCCTCCTCCTCCTCCTTCTCCTCCTCCTCCTCCTCCTCCTCCTCCTCCTCCTCCTCCTCCTCCTCCTCCTCCTTCTCCCCCCGTCTCCTCCTTCGGTCACCCTTTCCCTGCCCGCGGCGGAGGAGTGGCAGTGAGGAGGGTGGAGAGAAAGAGCAGGAGGGAAGAGAAGGAAGAGGAGGAGCGGGAAGAGGAGGAGGAGGAGGAGGAGGAGGAGGAGGAGGAGGAGGAGGAGGATAACAAGGGGAGAAGACGAGGAGGGCGGAGTGGAGCGGAGGGGAAAGAGCGCGGTGGAGGTGATTGGGGAACAGGATAATCAAGGATAGTAAGAATAGTAATCACAAGGACGATGACCATATTAAAACCACGAGCAGGAAAACCCAGGGTGAGCACAACAGGGATAGCAACGGAAAGAGGAGGCGGAGGCGGAGGCGGAAGCGGTGGCGGCGGCGGCGGCGGCGGCGGAGGAGGAGGAGGAGGAGGAGGAGGAGGAGGAGGAGGAGTGCGGAGGGCCGCGAGTGCACTTCGAGGCCTGTCCCCACGTTCCTCATCCCTTCTCCTCCTGCTCGGCCTCGGCCTCTTCCGCCTCCTCTTCCGCACTGACCTCCTCCTCGGCCCCGTCGAGGGCAAGCAGGAGGGCCACAGCGGTGGAGCACTGGCGCACGGGGCAGAGGCACGCCGCGCGCGGCGCCCGCCGAGGCGGCCCCCGCCGAGGCGGCCCCCGCCGAGGAGGCGCCCGCCGCGGCGGCGCCCGCCGAGGCGCCGCCGGCCTTCGTGGACCGCCAGCGACGACGCCGCCGACGGCGACGACGCCGCCGCCGACGCCGACGCCGACAACGACGACTCCGACGACGACAGCCGACGACGACAACGCCGGCGACGACGACGACGCCGACGGAGTAGACAACTACGGCTCTCGCGCCCATTCCACTCGTATTGCGCTGTGGCTCAGAGCAGCCACGGGAGCGGGTGGCTGACGTTCCCTCGCCTGCTGCTTAATGGCCCTCCCTCCTTCCACTGCATCTCCCAGCGGTGGCATGAGCCTCTGGGGAGGTGTTGTTTTGTTCTTGGGGTGGGAGGTATTGGATGAGCAGGGGAGGAGGAATATTTGTTCTCCGAGCCGAGTCGCTTTGCTCTGGGGTGAAAGCCGCCTCGAACTCTGGAGGAGTCTACACCTCAAGGCACGCCCGAGGCCAGTGTGCCAAGGGCAGGTGCCGCGGATGTTTCCATACTTGTTGTCCTTTTCTCGGGCCTCGCCTGAGTTTGGGACACAGGAGCGTAGCAATTTATCAGAGGAGAGAGGTTCTCAGCACGGATCCAAAGGGACGCCAGCACGGGAGCGAGGGCTACCAGGGCCACCTGAGAGCCCGAGCCAATGCCAGACACAGCCAGGGCCCCGCGAGCGATATAAAATTCGGCCGCTGGAGGCGGCAGACTTGGATGCCCGAGCTCCTGCGAGCGACCCTCCCAAGGACTTCTCAACCTCGAGGCTGCTGTGAATCCGGCCGGTAGGCCCTGTGCAAACCATGATGCCCCCTTGGTTCAGAAGCGGGCGGGAGGACGAGGAGGCGGAGGAGGAGGTGGATCGGTAGTGGGAGTAGGAGGAGGAGGCCTTCTACTTCCTCATCCTCCTCTTCCTCGCCCTTCTCCCTCCCACTTCTCCTCGCCGCACCCCCAGACGTGCCGGTAGGGCGGGCCAGCAGTTTCGCAGGAGGCTTCTTCGCCATGTATGACCAGTCCTTCTACCTCCTCGTCCTCCATTCTTTGTCCTTGTACATAATTTCTCCCTGTCGCACCCGCAGTCCAGTTTTTAGTCCGGGCCGGGAGTTTCGCTTGAGACGTTCTCACCATTACTCCTGACCCTGAAGCTAAAACAATAGCAACAGGTTCGCAGACGGAGGGCGGGTGCGGCTCTCGCCTTAGCGCCGCGCGCATTCGTTTTCAACATGTGATTCTCGCTTTAGCCCTGCGCACAATCCTTTATATATACACATGTGTGTAAACATCTAGTAGAATACAGGAGTTTCACCTATTGACGGCGGGTGGTTTTCAACATGTGGTTCTCGCCTTAGCGCCGCGCGCACTCGTTTTAAACATTGGATGCGTTTCGCGAATTGACGGCGGGTAGTTTTTAACATGTGGCTCTCGCCTGAGCGCCGCGCGCACTCGCTTTAAACATTTGCAAGGGTTGCACGGACTGAAAGCGGGTGGTTTGCAACATGTGGTTCTCGCCGTAGTGCCGCGCACATCTGTTTTAAACGCATGCAAGAGGTTCATGGATTGAGGGCGGTTGATTTCCAAAGCGTGGTTCTCGTCTTAGCGTCGCGCGCATTCGTTTACACTCGTGGGCAAGAACTTCACGGATTCCCATGATCAACGTACCAGAATTGCGTTCTGAAAAGATTCAGAATTACGAGGCGCAACAGTTACGTTGATTCGCGGTGTTGAAGTCACAGGAGTTGCTCTCCGGCACGATTCAGGATCGCCGAGACGCAACAGTGCAACAGTCAGTATGATCCGTGGCTTCGGAGTCCCGATATTAATGTTCTGGCATGCTTCAGGGTCTTCTAATTGTTGTCTTCCAGCGCGGCAGTTCTTCCAGTTGAAATGAACCGTTGTGGGGGCGTCTGGAGAGGGAGTTTTGAAGTAGGGTTTCTTCCAACACCGTTGATGACTCTTGGGTTTACACTGGTCCTCCTCTTCCTCCTCCTCCTCCTCCTTTTCCTCCTCTTCCTCCTCTTCCTCCTCCTCTTCCTCCTCCTCCTCCTCCTCCTCCTCCTCTTCCTCCTCCTCCTCCTCCTCCTCCTCCTCCTCCTCCTCCTCCTCCTCCTCCTCCTCCTCCTCCTCCTCCTCCTCCTCCTCTCCATCCCGCCAACTGACACGCCTTATCGATCGGGTGTGCCCCCCTCCTGTTCCTGTTCGCGTTCCCCTCTCAACTCCCTTTCTCCGAGGGAAGAAAAGGGCAGAAAGTTCCATTCGCCCCAGGGACCCAGCGAGGCCCTTGCGGGATCAGCTCGCGGCCGGGCCCCAGTGTGCAACCGTGTCTGTCAGGCCTTCCTCCTCCTCAGGAGCAGGTTGGCAGGCAAGGCGGGGGGGGGGCGCCAGCGGAGGCGGCGCCGGCGTTGGCGGCGCCCGCGGCCGTGTCGGAGGCGGCGGAGCAGGCCCGTCCCCAGGGGGGCGGTGGAGCCCAAATCAAAAGCACGATGGCCAGAGCCGGAGCACGAACCCCAGATGTCCGACGTTGAATACTTTATGTTGGTGAATCCGAGCGTTGCTCCTCGAATTCGGTTTCGTGGGGCCTTCGTCGGGCCTTGGGACAACTAAACGTGGACCTGGGGCGAAAAGCTAACCCTGGAAAAGGGGTCAGGATTTCTGGGGGCGCAGATTGAAAACTCATGTCGGAGGATGTCTGGAGGTGGGCAATTCTGGGAACAGAAAGCCAGAACGCACGGGCCCGAACCAGAACTTTTTACGTCGTGGCGCGGCAGTGGCAATCCGCTCGCGCGTCGGGGCGAGACCGGGACACGGCGTCGCGATTTGTCCCGCATGCGATGGGAAAGGGAGGAGGGGGCGTGGCCGCGGACAGGGGGCCAGAACGCGGGGCCACTCGCGCACCGAGGATGCGGGGAACGTCCGGCGGCGGCCGGGCTGAAGGGCAGCCCCTGGCAGCAATCGCTGGGCGGCATCACGACGCACCCAGGGGCGGGGCCAGCAGCCGCAGCGCGGGCGAAGCCCAGCAAAGGAGGAGGGGGAGCAGCAGGCGGCTGGTGAACGGGGGCGCCAGGGCGGGGGGAGGCAGCGGCGCTGGCGCAAGCGGCGGGCCAAGGGCGCGGTGCGACCGGCGCGGCAGCAACTGCGAGGGCGGCCCCAGGGCGGAGAGCGTCGGGCGGAGCAGTGGCGAAGCCGGCCGATTGGGGAGAGGCCGCAGACCGCAGGGGCGCGGTGCCGAGGGCAAAGGGGGGAGAAGCGCACGCCATCCAAGCGCTTGCGCGCGGAATCACAGCCTGGGATTCGGCCGACCCCAGTGCATTTGGCGAGGGGGAGGCAAGGGAGAGGGGCGGGCCGCCACGCGGCGTTTCCAGGAGGGGGGCGCCGTGATGCTGCCACTGGGGAGGCCCGGCGAGGGGCATAGTTTCCGCACGCCCGGAGGAGGGCGGTGCCACCTGCCAGGAAGCGCGGGCGCGGGCCAGGGAGGGGAAGCAAAAGTGGGAGGTGAGCCGCAACGGCGGAGACCATCAAGTGGGGCAGCGCAAACTGCCGACGCGGGCAGGGCCACCGGTAGGGGCCGCGGGGGCCAGTCACGGCATCGGCGACCGGCGTGGGGGCAGAGGGTGGCGACTTCCGGGGAAAGGCAGCGCTGGGGCGGGGCAAAGTCCGAAAGCGGTCCCCGCGGGGGAGGCGGAGAGCGGCAGGCGGCCACAGGGGCACGCAGGTGCCAGAGGCGGCACGGGATCTGGGATGGATGGGGCCCCGCGGGGCGAAAAGCTGCAGGGCACCAGGGGGCCGAGCATCTGGGGGCCGGTCCGGCCGCCCCACGCGACGCCCGGGCTGGACCGTGCGGGGGGGGGTTGGGCGGCGGGTGCTCCCAGGAGGGTGAGCGCCGCGGGGAAAGCACCCAATTGGTGCACAGACAGGCGGTTGACGGGAAAGCACCTAATTGGTGCACGTACAGGTGAAAGAGAAGGGAGCGGTTGCCTCCTGGGTTGGAAGGCGCACCGCAGTCGCCGTTAGTAAACAGGCACAGCGGGGGAGCATTTATTGGGCGCACAGACATGTGGAAGAGTCAAGAGCGGGCGCATCCTGGGTTGGAAGGCGCATTGCAAACGTCGTCGGCAGGACCAGGTATAACGGGAAGTTTTTGAATTGGTGCGAAGACAGGTAGAGAAAATGCGTGGGCAGCTGGGTGGCCACGCGCCGTCATCGGCGCCGAAGCGACAAAAGCGCGCGCTGGGCAGTCAGCTGCCCATCGGCCCTCAATCGCCCTACAGCCCACGCTGTCGAGACTGATCCCCTGCGGGCCAGGTCGCCTCATTTTGCCGCATGCCCCCATGCCATTTGCCAGTTGCCCGGCCTTGGCGGCGCTGCTGCCGCCGCCGCGCCGCGCCCCAGTCAACGCCCCGGCGGCGACTGCGGCGCAGTAGTCGGCGCTGGCCTGCTCACTCCTGAAGGCCTCCTTGAGGTCCGCGCGGCCTTCGGAGTCGCAGGTGCTTCTGCCGCGGCCCTTCCCGCCCCGTCGAGCGCAGGCCCTGTTCCAACCCTCCGCGAAGGCCGCGCCGCAAGAGTGCATCAGGCGATTGACCAGCTTTGCCCAGATCTCGAGCCTGCTCTCCGCGTGGGGCCACTGAGGCGCCCACCGGACGCTGCACCTAGGAGTCTTGTAGACGCAGCCCAGGCGCCCGCCTTAGGCCCCCCGCCCAGCGGCCGTCTCGGTTGTGTCCCGCGCGCCCCATGTCAAGGCCCAGCTGAGTTACTAACTAGTTAGCGTGATGTATAATTCATGTGTAATTAGTTACAAATGTTAGTTTGTTGCATGCGATGTGTTCAACATGGTTTGATTGTTGGGGTGTTCCCATGTTTTGGTTAGGGGTTTTCCAATGTTAGGTTGATGTGGCGATGATGATGGCGATGTCGACATGCAAATTATGAATTGCATCTGATGTCTTCCACAAAGAGTCGCAAGTGAACCCACGTATGCAAGTGAAACAAACAGCGAAACTCAGGCACAGTTTCTGCTGTATTCGGTTGGCCAAATGCATGTGAAGGCAGAGGCTGTCCTCCTGAAAACTGTAGCATGCTTGAGCGTGCTCGTGGGCACGAGGACTGGTTGCTGGTCTCCGTCGATGGTGCACGTACTCCACCCTGAACGCACCTGACGAGTTGCCTACCGCAGAATCAAGCTAAGTGGTTCCGATTGCGACGCCGCCCCGACGTCGCACTGCACGCGATGTCATATCTGCACGGCTGAGTGACCAGTACCACGACCCATCAGAATAATGTCACCCCTACTGAGAATCATTGTTGTTGTACGCTTTTGCACTTGACACAGCCGTCTGCGTCTGGGGGCGCAAATGCGTTAGGCATTCGATCAACGTCTTTGACGCTGAAACCGGATCCTGCAACGCAGTTGCAACGCTGAAGAGGTTAAGTTCGTGACGGTGCTAGGAGACCAGCTGCAACATCAATGCCTTCTCAGGACGCCTCAAGCAAATGTGATCGCGCGTAAACTGCTTGACAACTTTGTGTTTACGCTCGTGCACACAGCATGATCATGAACCAAAGGTTTGGTACATGTCGGGGAGGTGCGTCGCCGCGTGGAATTTGCAAGACCAGACTTCGGTACCATAGCACTCCTGGTGCAGCCGAATATGATGCGCAATAGCAGCAGACAGCTCGGCGCGACTGACGCATGCGCCCCCCGCCAGTGCAACGAACAAGTCCAAGGCGTCGCACAGCGCCAGAAAGCTCGATATGCGTTTGGTGCATGCAGGCGCGTCTGCAACTTTGGCTACTACTTCTGACGTAGCGCGCGAGCGCGGGCATGGCTGACCTCGTTTCAGACGCGCCCGCAGCGAACTCGCCCGCGTCGAAGACCGGACGGTCGCATTTGACATGCTTCGGCCACGTCCACACCTGCAAGCATGCGTTGAGGCCGTTGACGTTGACGATAGAAGCGGCCGAGCGATCGCTGAGGAAGGCAATGGTCTCTGTATCAACGATGCCGCCTGCGATGATAGACATGCACCCAATCGAAGCACAGCATCGACATGACCCCGCACCCCAAACCGGGGTCGAGTGCCATATGAATTGGATGATAGTTCCACCCGTTAAGCTGCGCGAGCGCCCTGAACCGTTCATCATTTATCTCGCCATTATCCATCCGTTCCCAGTGGGGGGCGGCTTCTTCGAAGGATCGCAACGACGGTTTTGTCTGCGTTGGTGGCCCACTTGCTTTTGTTTGTAGATGCATCTGACACGTGCCAGCCTGTCGCGTCATACACGCTATAATCGAACTTCCGATGTATCATGTTTCTGCATACGGCGCACGGCTTGGCCCCCGCGTGCCTTTTGTGCATGTGCAGCTCCCGCAATGATTCCTCGTCCCCGATGGTGCATTCTAGCTTCGCGACCAGTGTCGCGTGCGCCGCGCCATCGCCATTCTCAGACATATCGAGCGCGATGCCCGCAGTCTTCAGATTGACTTCGCCAGCATCGGCGTTGAAGAACAACCTCTTGAGACGGATGCGCAACGAGTGCCCTGCCGCCTGGAAGTTTTCGCACCATGGCAACTCTTGCCGCGGACAAGACAAACCGCGCGTCTTCGTTGGAGAGATGCTCGTCGAACTCCAGGAAGCTCCAATAGATAGCATCGACCCCTCTCTATAACCTTTGCCTTTTGAAAACGGGCCTCGTGGCGAGATCCCGTCAACATAAAGGCAAATCGTGTTGGCGTACACGGGCGCCTGCGCAGCTGCTGTCGCATCAACGCCGTGAGCCCACTGCTAGCCTTGCACGCGGCATAAAGCATGGGTCCTGGTGAACACGCCCAGTTTTGGAATGGCTGGCCATTTTCAAATTACATGTCAATGCATTGCAGCAAGTGTCCGTAAGGTGTCGTTTCTTTAGCAACGACCACCTCCTTTGCACGATCTCGCGCAGCCCTTGAGACTGCATCTGGCATGTCATTGTCTCTGATATATTTGCATACATGGGAAAGGCCTCGTTCAGAGATGTACGGTCCGCGGTGGATCTCGACGAGGGCTTCGGCGTCCGCCGTGCGAGACGCGGGTCGCTTTTCGCGGCGTCGACGACGCCATGTCATCGATTGGTGCCAAATCGGCTACGGATGATACGAACGGATTCCGACGCACCGATTGCATGTATCGCAGGGGCAACACGGACGAGGGCGCTCCGCAGCACGCGCCATTTGTGAATGTCGTTGCATCGCACACGATCTCGTCACTGGTCACAAGTTCCATGGGTGTTAGCCCAGCAACGCATATATGCATGACTTGCACGGCCTGCCTGCGTGCTTGCATCAGTTGCAATGCGCGCGAGGCTCGGTCACAAAACACGGCTGGCTGTACGAATACTTAGCCAATCTCAACAAATTCGACCCCGTCGTATCACAGACGACTGGTACAACTGATATGATGCATGATACATACAAGGCATGACAGGCGTGCATGCGTATGGATTGAACGGCAGTGGACTTGTACGACTTACACGACACAGCATGCAAACATATTGCCTATAGGAGTTCCGCTCGCTGCGCTGTATCCGGGTAGACCGCGATGGATGGCGTGGAGTTGCGCAGAGTACAGTATATTCGTCGGTGTGGGTATACCCCAGCAAAATGCAATAGTTGTCGACCATGTCACCTAAGTTGGGTCAACGCTGGTGGCTCTGATTGTTGCGGCGAGACATACCAAGACCGCGTCACTGCAACGAGACGCGCGGCGCTAAGCCCTTGCGCTGGCAACCGATAGGGCGGCGTCGCAGGCGGCGGCCATGCCGACCATTGCGACGGCGTCGCAGGCGGCGGCGCGGCGGCGGCGGCGGCGGCGGCCACGGCGTGGCTGAGGGGCACGCGCGCCAGGCCCCGGGCTCAGATGGCGGCACGACCGCTGCAGGCGCGATGGCAGCGCCCGCGGGGCCGCGCTCCGACCTGCCAGCGTTCCTGTGGCTCGCCCTGACAAAGTCGGGCGCCTCGATCTCCCATGCATCGCCAGACGGGGCACCGTCGCTGCACGCTGCCTCGCACCGCGGCTCGGCCATGATATGCGAGGGGTTGTCGTACTTCCACATCGCGCGATGCCGCCATGGCGGGCTTTTCATAGCCCCAAGGCCATTCTTGACCTTTCGCAGGAGCTCGCACCAGGCCCGACCCGTCGTCTCGACGTCACTGGCCCCGGCGACCACGGCGGCGATGCGCCCTTTGGCCGTCTCGCTCAGCGCGTGCATGCCCAAATTGCGGGCACGCTTGACGACGACCTGGGTCATTGCCCCCTCGGAGAGATTGCCGCCCTTGAGCGAATCGATCCTTCTTGTCGCCATGAGCTTGGAAGGCAACAACTTCTTGCCACCGCTTCTCCCTCGGGTTAGTAATGCCATGGCATTTCGTGCCGAATGCGCTGCACAGGCCAGCGATCTGCGCCTCAGTCCACTCGCCCAGCGCGTTGGCGCGGATTGCGGCGACGATTTCAGTTGACTCCTCCACGGAGATGCGGCTATCGACCTGCTGATCGGCGCAAGTTGTTGGGTCCATCCCGCATCGAGTCTGCGCCTGCACCCAATCTATCATGTGACTCAACTCTGCGATGATATCGGGCACAGTGGCCATGACTGCTGCGGCGCAGCAGCGCCCTCTGCTGCAGCGCAGCACTGCCCTCGAGAGCGGGGCGGCCAACGCGAACAAACTCGCTCGAGCCTAAACGGTTACATAAACGACGGCAATTCCGACAATGCGTGGTCGCACGATCACATCGTTGGCGGGGGTCACGGGGCCCGTCGCGGCCGTCGCGACCGCGCCCCACGTGCCCCGATCACCCCGCCCCAAGACGCGGGTTCACCATCGCCCACCCGCAACGACGCCCATCGTTCGGCAAGTGTGGTGGCGGAGATGATGGCGGCGATGCTGCCCCCCCCCCCCCCGCTGAGTGTTTCTGCCCTCCCGAGGCGCGCCGCATGATGGCTATGCGGTCTGTCGCGCTGGCGATGCGTCGCCCGCCCGCGAGGTCCGCGGGGCGCGCTCGGCCTTGATCCGATCGAGCGCATCAGACGCATCGTTCAGCATCTCCAGAGCGGCAATGCGGTCGCACATGGACGACATCCATGCCGCCTCGGCGTCTTCCATCTGGGTCTCGGCAGCAGTGCACTTCTTGAAGTTATTCTCAACCTGCGGGGCGGGGGGGGGGGGGCAAGCGTGCTGATATGCGCTACCCCACACAACATTGAGTAAACTATGCATGGCGTTTGCCAGTTCGCCCTCGTCATGGCCACCTGTTTCGATGTGCGTTTGAACTTTCCGAGGCAGGCTGACTTGGTGACCTTTGCATTCTTGAGCTTCCCAGTGCGATCGTACTTGGTCTCTGCGCGGCTCCGCGCATCCATCTGGCGCTCCTTTGCCGATTTGCCCACGGCTGGAGCGGGCGGCCGCTGGGGCGAGGGGCGCCGGGGGATCGGCGCGTATATCGCTGACGCAACTGAGCCGACATGGCCCGACACGGCCATCCCAAAGCCCCCGCCTCCCCACCGCGCAATGCCAACATCGCCGGCACCGGGGGGGCGCGGGGGATGGGGGCGGGGGGGGGAGGGGGGGGGGGCATGAGCATCACGCAAGTTGCGCTCGGTTTCTATGGCACCGGCGCACCAGCCATCCCCCCGTGGCAGGCGCGAGCAATGCATCAGGCGTGCGTGCGCACGCCATCTACAATGCGTGAACGCACTAGGCTCTAGACACTCAGGGACCGCGCGCCCGCTCGAGGCCCGCGGCAAGTTCCCCGACGCCAACGGCCTTCCGCCCGCGCACCCGACTGAGGCCACCCGCATCAATGATGCGGCTCGTCGCACCTGCTTGCTGACGTCGGCTGTTGCCAATGCTTGACGAAAAACAGATTCGGCATTCTCGGCCTTCGTCATCGCCTTCTCCAATGTCTTGAAGGTCTTCTCCACCTATGATGGGGCAACCCCGCGCCACGTCAGCGAATGCACATGGGCGTGGTCACGCCGACCGCGCTCGCTGCCAGCCAGTTGCACGGCCAATCAAGCACATGGCAATCATGCATATCATTTGCATACCAGATGCAAGCGCGCACCGTGCACCACAAAATATTGCAAGCTAGGCACATACAACGCAACCGCCGTGCACAACGCCCAGATAAATGCGCGGCGACACGCAATGCATATAAAATGCAGCCGCCGGGCGAGCGTCCTTTCTCACGGCCTTGAGTCAACTGCCCTTGTGGATGGTTGCCGAGTCGAGCTTCTGGTTGAAGTAGGCCGTGTTTTTCTTGCGGCGCTGGGCCCGCATGGCCTTGACGGTTGGGCGCATGAGGAGCCCGGGCACGGCAATGCCAATTGAACCCTGCTGACGACACGCCTTGCGGCACAACGGCTGCAACGAATGTCGCACGAGGAGTCGACGGTGGCCGATGGTGCAGCTGCAGCGGCAGTGCGCGACGGTCGCAGATCATCAATGCCCCTCCCCCCATCCCACCATGCCCCTCCGATCCCTCACTCCAATCATGCCGATGCATCGCGATGCATATCACTACCTGCAGATATCTCGCCATCCGTGCGACGCTCGCTTCACCTTTCAGTATCAGTATGTGCCGATTCCCCATATATATATATATATAAATAGATGATCAAGCTTGAACCGCCAGCGTCGTCGGCCCCCCCCCCCCCTCCCCCCGCGGGGGCCTCGGGGCGTCGACAGATCCCGCGGGGCCCTCGGCGGCGGACCTGGAGAAGACGGACGTCGACAGGGCGATGGATGCTTTGCGCGTGGTGGAGCGGAGTGAATCCGATCCGATCGCAAGACGAGGACCATGACGACGACGAGGGCGAACGTCGGGGCGGGCGGGGGGCACGCGGCTTGATCGCAGGCGGCGGAGGCGCAGCAGGAACGGACGCAGGAACCCGAGGACCACAAATTCGAGGCGGGGACGGAGGCAGCGGAAGCACTGGAGGGGAGGGACAAGCTGGAGGAGCAGGAGGCGGAGGCGAGGGCGAAGAACCGGGAGATCGCGGAGCTGGAGGGGGAGGTGGACAAGACGAGCAAGAAGAAGGATAATAAGAAAGAGAAGAATAAGAAGAGAAAGAATTATCCCAGTGCGACCCTACCTAGGAGTTGGAGCCCCTTAAGAAAGCAGCATTAGTAGTAACAGTAAAGCTAAGCTGAAACTAAGCTAAAGCTAAGCTGAAGCTAAGCTAGAGCTAAGCTGAAGCTAAGCTAAAGCTAAGCTAACGCTAAGCTAGAGCTAAGCTAAAGCTAAGCTAAGCTAAAGCTAAGCTAAAGCTAAGCTAACACTAAGCTAACGCTAAGCTAGAGCTAAGCTGAAACTAAGCTAGAGCTAAGCTGAAGCTAAGCTAAAGCTAAGCTGAAGCTAAGCTGAAACCAAGCTAAAGCTAAGCTGAAGCTAAGCTAGAGCTAAGCTAAAGCTAAGCTGAAGCTAAGCTGACGCTAAACTAGAGCTAAGCTAAGGCTAAGCTGAAGATAAGCTGAAGCTAAGCCAGAGCTAAGCTGAAGCTAAGCGAACGCTAAGCTTGAGCTAAGCTAACGCTAAGCTAGAGCTAAGCTAAAGCTAAGCTGAAGCTAAGCTAGAGCTAAGCTAAAGCTAAGCTAGAGCTAAGCTGAAGCTAAGCTGAAGCTAAGCTAAAGCTAAACAAAGCTAAGCTAGAGCTAAGCTGAAGCTAAGCTGAAGCTAAGCTAAAGCTAAGTTAAAGCTAAGCTGAAGCTAAGCTAAAGCTAAGCTAAAGCCAAGCTAAAGCTAAGCTAAAACTAAGCTAAAGCTAAGCTCAAGCTAAGCTAAAGCTAAGCTGAAGCTAAGCTAAGCTGGGTGAACCCAGGGGACGCAACTGGGGGAACCGCGGGGCGGGGACTGGGGGAACCGCCCGGGGCGATTTCCACTGCCCGGCCCCTTTAGCTAACAGAGTAAGAACCCTTCTAGGCAGACCCTAGGTAGGGAATGATGCGGAGGGCGCTGCCGACAAGTGAGGGCTAGGCGGCGGGCGTCGGCGCCGTCGTGTCCCGCGCGGGGCAGAGCTCGCACTGCGCGAGGGCGGGGGCGAGGGCGACGACGGGGAAGGAGGCAGGTGATGACAATGAATGGGATGATGAGGAGGGCGGGGGGGCCGAGGGGGGGAGGTCCAGAAGGGGGGGGGGGGGGGGGGGGGGGGGGGGAATTAGCTAGAGGGGAATTAATTGGCGAGGTGGAGCAGTGACGGCGTTTGGTTTCTTTGCGCGACGCGTCGCGATGATAAATTTCGACGCAGGCCGCCGCCACTTGGGCTTAGCGAAGCGATAATGTTTAAGGCATCGGCGACGGCTCACACAGGCTGTGCCCTGTCCGAGCCACCGCCAACTTCAAGTGACCCACATTTGCTGTGGCTCTCGTCCGCAGCTAGGCTAAGGTTTGGCTGGGTTTTCTGTATTGGTCGGGCTGGTGTGGGTTGGTGTGGTATAGCGGGTTGGGCTATGGCTGGCTGGTCGGCTTTGGTGATTGGAGTGGTTGGGTTGGCCTGGGCTGGGCTGGGTTAAGGTTTTTGTTTTTTGTTTAAAAATGGCCAGCTAATGCGACGCACAGTCGCAAGAGGTGTGGACAATGAAGGCACTCGTTCGCGATTTCGAGTTGCGCAGGAACGAATGGATAATTGAGGGTAACAGCAAGCCTGACACAATGAAGTGTCGCATGTTGAATTTCATACGACATATATGTCGCATGTTGAACTTCAACGTGCGACACATATGTCGTATGTTGAAATTCAACATACGACAACTGTTCTTATTGTTTTATTACTGTGAAATATGGTATGTTGAAATTCAACATACGACGGATGCGTCGCATCTTGAATTTCAACCTACGACAGATGTGCCGCATGTTGAAGTTCAACATACGACTGATATGTCGCATGCTGAATTTTAACATGCGACACATGTGCAGCGACGGGCCGCTGCTGCTGTAAACGGCCATGCCGTCGCGCAGCGCTGCGTCAGCTGGCGGTGCCACGGCGGCGTCAACGGCTAAGTTGACGGCGGTCGGCGGCGGCTGGAGGCGTCAACGTCTACGTTGACGGGAGCTATTCCAGAGGCTCGGCGCGCTGACGTGCCCCCCCCCGATGCGAGGGGCGACGCCGACGACGACGACGACGGCGCCGCCGACGACTACGACGACAACGACGACGGCACCGACGACGACGACGACGACGACGACGGCGGCACATCATCGCGACAAGCCTCCGCTCGACGGGCTCAGCTCAACGACGGATCGGCCGACGCGGCCTGCGCCTCCGCCCGCGCCTCCGCGCGCGCCTCCGCGCGCACCTCTTCCTGCGCCTTGGCCCAGTCCCGTCAGAGTACACGCCTACTCCACTCGATGCACTTCCCGTCTTCATTCTCGGGCTCCTTCACGCGGCTGGGATCGAGCAGCCCAGTGCGCGCGAGCGACTTGGCCAAGCCGACGTGCTTCCCGCCCCGCGGCGTCGGCCGGTTTTGCCCGCCGTCGCCCGCGAAGCTGCCGTCGCCTGTGTAGCTGCCGTCGCCGGTGTAGCTGCCGTTGCCAATGTAGCCGCCGTCGTCGCCCGCGTAGCTGCCGTCGTCGCCCGTGTAGCGGCCGTCGGAGCTGCCGCGCCTGTACTAGCCGCCGCCCTTGTAGTGGCTGTCGTCCATGTAGTAGCCGTCGCCCGCGTAGTAGCTGCCGTCGGGGCTGTCGCCCTTGTAGCCGCCGTCGCCCGCGCAGCCGCGGTCGCCGTCGCGCTCGTAGCTGCCGTCGGATCTGCCGCCCTTGCAGCCGTCGTCCTTGCAGTAGCTGCCGTCGGCCCTGGAGCTAACGTCGCCCTTGTAGCTGCCGTCGCCCGCGTAGTTGCCGCCGCCATTGTACCGCCGTCGCCTTTGTAGCTGCCGTCGCCCGCGCAGCCGCGGTCGCCAGTGTAGCTGCCGCCGCCCGTGTAGCTACCGCCGCGCTCGTAGCCGCCGTCGCCCTTGTAGCGCGTGTAGCTGCGGCCGTCGTAGCTGCCGTCGTTGTAGCCGCCGTCGTTGTTGCGCTTGGCCCAGCCGCCGTCGCCGTTGCTGTGGTCGCCCTTGTAGCCGCCGCCCTGGCAGTAGCTGCCGTCGCCCTTGTAGCCACCACATCCCGTGTAGCTGCCGTCGCCCATGGAGCTGCCGTCGCCCGCGTAGCTGCCGTCGCCCGCGCGGCCGTCGCCCATGTAGCTGTCGCCGGCGCCGATGTTATTGTAGTGCTCCTGGGTGAATGTCTGGTCGTCGACCGAGCCTTTGTCGCCCTGTCGTCGTCGTCGCCGTCGTCGTCGTCGTCGACGCCGCCCTCCACCGCGTCGGCGACCTCGGACGCGTCGGCGAACTTCATGGTGTTAAGCCGCGGCGACATCGCGGGGGCCACGTTCAGCTTCTCGAGCAACTGGT